GTGTCAGTGTTTGTTCTACTGTGGTGGTGGTAGGTTTTATGTAGTCTGTGCTGTGCTTGGTGTTCATATTTGTTCATGTTGTATCCAGAAGCCAGAGGGGAGTTGACAGAAAATGAAAATTTCCTACATTAAAATTTGTGCAACAAACAGAGTGGCATGGGAAAAAAAATTTTGCCCCCTTCCTGATTTATTAGAGAGTCGTCAATGCACATTTGGAGTATTTGTGGTAGTCGCACACTCTTGGGAAGGTGTAGAGGTTTCTTTATTTGTGGATAATAGCTCTTGCTGTGGTTCACCGGAGTCCCAAAGCCTTAGAAATGACTTTCCAGACTGATAGTTGTCAATAACTTTCTTTCTCGGCTGTTTCTTTAGATCGCAGCACTGTGTGTTGCTTTTCGAAATTTATTAGCCCACTTTATTTTGTTAGACAGTTTCTATTTAAACGATTTCTTGGTTCAGCAGCTCTGACATTAAGCATGCCTGGGTGTAGTTAGAGAGAATAAACTCAGGTTTCCATAAATGTGATTAATTACAGTCAACTCATCATTTAAAGGAGGGTGGGGTTACTTTTTCCACATAGAGCCAGTTAGGTTTTGATAACTAACCAGTGATCTCTGTCTAATATTAGAATTTGTTTGATCTGAAACATTTAAGTAAGACAAATATGCACAAAAAAGAAGAAATCAGGAAGGAACAAATGCTTTTTCATGTCACTGTATATGCATATATCCTGCTACATTTGCCTGTCAAAGTACTTCTGCAGGATGCTAACCATAGGGAAATGTTACTCATGCAGCTGCTCTTTGAACTTTGCTGGTCGCTCATTTAAACACTGGCAAAATTTCATACTGCTGATGCTGGAGGGTCTTATCTGTATGGTCTCACTTGTTGGTCTGCCGTGCCTGGTTCTCTCTCAACCTGGCTTTCTTCCTCCTTCGCTGTGGTTGTGAAGGGCTTCATTGTCATAGTATGAAACAAAGGGATTCACAGTGGCCCGATTATGGACAAATCAGGCCATGCAAAGCAGACCCCACCCAGACCGTGGGACCCAATGTCAGAAGCCTCTGACTTTTCTCACCATCATGTTATCATCTCTTCTCAAGATGTACTGAATGGATAATGTGGATAATTGAAATTCAAAGACTTATATTTGTATTACATCTCAATACAAACCAGTAATTGTTTTAAAGTAAATTTTCAAGGCCTGCAGCAAAAGTAATCTACAAAGATTTGTAGTGAAAGAATACGGTGAGTTTGTAACAAAGTAACAAAAATCAGTTAAATTCATCACTAAAGTACTTTGTTTTTATATATGTTCTATAAATATTTCATAATACACAAAGGATTTTGTGGGAATTGGTTTTACGTTCTTGGAATAACCCTATTTGAGAGTGGTTTTATTAATACTGTCTCCACTTGTGTCCTTATTTTTGTGAAATTACAGAAAGATAAGAAGTTAACATCACCTGTGGGGCAACGTCCTGCCTCCCCATCCACTCCAGGTCGGCACCGCTCGCCATCGCCTGCCCCCAGTCCAGGTCCAAAGAGGACTCCTTCGCCTTCAGCACCCAAGTAAGACTCCTACACAGGATTTGTTATGAAACACATGCATTTTCATTTGGTTTTAAGTCAGAAAATAAGACGGCACACACAATTATTTCTGCAGGCAAAGCCCTAAGATGCGCCCAGCCTCTCCAGGCGCAATGAAACAACGCCCACCGTCTCCTCAGCCTGCATCAACCAAACCCCCGCCCATCCAGAAGCCTCTCGCTCCAGCAGGACCACCAACCTTACGAAAGAGGAACTCCAAGTCCAAAGATCTATGTCCTGTTCAAGCTGTGGCTCAACAGTCCTCTGATTCCAGCAAGACCAAAGACAAAGATGGTGAGCAGTTAACAGAGAAAGATTGCTTTATGTACTGTGACTTAACAGCTATTGTCACCTGACAGTCAGTAGCAGTATTTGCCAAGACTGTTCATTATCCTGCAAACCAGGATGTTTGTTCACTGTATTCAAACATGATGTCTTTGTAAACCAAACTAAGTCTTAAGTCACTAAGTTAAAGTGTTTTCGGCTAATGTACTGCAGCACGTCTAGTTCCAGGTGATTACCTCCAGGTCATAATGACATATCCCTTTTTTTCAAAAATGTTGCTTCTGCAAAAGGACTGTTTGTCCTGCACGTAGTTATTGGCACATGCTTCATTTACTGCATTCAGAGGAAACTGCAAACAGAATTTGTGCTTTAAGCACAAGAGAATCAATCACTGAACATGGTTTTATAACATGTCATTTTATTTTAGTAGACACACCATTATTGGGATTGTGTTTACATATTGCAATAAATCTCGGTGAAGCAGAAAAGGTAGCGTTTACCACCTGGAGTCGCATGCTTCAGACATTTGGATTTGCTGTTTCTTCTGCCACCTCCTGGCAGGGAAAATGGTTTTCATATGGATGTACATGCAACCAGATATCCACTAGAGGTGGGAATCACCATACATCCCA